TGTTGTTGTTGTTGTTGTTGTTGTTGTTGGTGATGATGATGAAGCCGTGACAGTCAAACAGCAGCCATGGCACCACAGTGGCACTACAGTGAGTAACGGCAAAGCAGGAAGCGCGGGTAACATACGTCGTTCGCGTTTGACGTCTGCACAAGCCGTGTTGCAGTGACCTGTCAAACAAGGCAACACAAGGAGGAAGAGAAGGGGGGTTGGCGCAGGCGTGTGAGGTGTAGAGATGAGTGCAATGGACGACTCAAGAGTGGGGCAGCCTCGGCAATACAATGGCGCACCCATGGCAAACCCCCGGTTGCTTTCGCCTTGAGTTACAAGGGGTCAACGCAGTTGCGGCACCAAAACACCCAAACATAACAATCTGTGCGTGTTGTGCTGTGTTGTGTTGTGTTGTGTTGTGTTGTGTTGTGTGTGTGTGTGTGTGTGTGTGTGTGTGTGTGTGTGTGTGTGTGTGTGTGTGTGTGTGTTGTGGTGTGGTGTGTAGTGGTGTGTGGCGTCGCACCGTTGATGAGGTCATCAATGTAGTTGGCGGCGATGCCACGGCACTGCCAGCGTGTCGTGTCACGCTCGATGGCGCTGCACGCCTCATCGGCGAGGTTTGCGGCCGCCTCGGGCGACAGGGCCTCAGCAACATTGGAGCGGCTCAGGATGTGCTACACGTACGTGCGAAGGTGCAGGAGAGTATGCCGGGATACGTGTGAACCAACGAAGTAAGAACTGCGGTCAACAGCGCAGCATTCAACCCGTCGCACCAGAAATCAACGGAAACAACAAAGTAATGCAACCCTCAACCGACTGGCGACCCCAACCAACCGACAAGGCAACAACGAACCAACAGACAACCGCATACACACACAGGCACACACAGAGGCGCTTGAACGCACCTCACAGATGGCACAGGAGTCCTCGGATGGCTGTGCGTAGAACGGAACGACACCCTCCGAGCTGTTGGAAACAAATGTGATGTGAGATGCGGCAGAGGGTTGACACATGGCAGGCTGCAGTGTCCACAGAACAAACACAACAGAATTGCAGTCGAGTGCGCACATGGGTGACTCGAAGGCGTTGGCGGCGTTGGCAATGGCATCGGAGATGTTCTGCGATTGGAAATCACGGTGGCGGGTGAGGGTGCAGCGAGCGAGCGAGAACAGCGAACGTAGTGATGGCTATCTGAGGACACACACGCACACACGCCGTTCACACACGCCGTTCACACACGCACACACGCCGTTCACACACACACACACAAACATACCAGAAACGTGTCGGATGGCATTGGAGGCTTGATGATGCCTTCTTGTGGACGAGCGTGTGTCGCAGGCACTGCAACGAGTGCCACAAAGACACCAAGAAGCAGTGCGAGCACACTCGCTGCCCGCCCAGCCATCATCGCGGTTGGAGTGGGCTTTTGTAGTTTGGCCTAGCGGCCTGCTGTGGTTGTGAGTCGCTGCAGCTGCGGCTTGTGGACTCGGCACAGCAACGGGAGGAAGTGTAACAAGGACTGGCTGTGTGCGTGTGCGCGTGCGCGTGCGTGTGTGTGTTGGGGTGGTGCAAGGACAGAAAGACAGAGACAAGGCGGTGGTGAGACACACGTGGCGTGGCTGTGCGCATGCACACTGGTGTGTAGCAGTCACCAGCAGCAAAGGGAAAGCAGACGGACAGCAGAGAGGACAAGCAGGTAGAGGCATAGAATGGCATCTTTGACATGGACATTCACATCAAACAATCATGCCACGCTAGTCGTGTCAGGTGTTAATTTGACTTGTTGACTTGATCAAATCACCGACCATCCCACCCCTTCCTCCTCTGCTCACCCACTCGCCTTCACGTTCACCCTGCCACTCGGCTACACGCCACTCACACTCGGGCCGGTCACGCTCCGTCTCACACGCTCGCAATTTATCAACAAGCAAAAGAACGCACACACGCTCGCTCGTGTGCAGCCGATATCGCCTGCCTCGCCGACCTTTTCTTTCGTCGCGCACACCCTCGTCCTTCTTCGTCGCTTGCTGCGAAATTGGCCTGACTCTCGCTTACTCGCTCGCTGCTGGCTTTGGGGTGTGGCCAAAAAGCCTCTCGTGCAGAAAGCGCAACGACTCCGGCTGCATACTTCCCACGCCGATAGGTTGTTGAAGATTTCCCGATCATTTCGGCGGGACAAACTGGCGTCGCAAACGTCAATTTTGACGTTGTGGTGAAAGGCAAATTTGACCTTTGCCGTCCCTTTCTGACGTCAGACAGGTTAGGAGGTTGCGTCATGCACTGCGCGAAGCGGACACGACGACCTGTTTGCAGCGCTAGTTCCGAGTGAATGGGGTGTGCTTTGCTCGTCTGCTCGTTGTTGTAATGTAACGCCGTGCCCAACACCGCTACACATGGTCAGGAGCGGATCCAAAGGTGCTTGTGTTGTTGTAAACAATGGTCTTTCCTCTCCTTACAAAAAAAGCAAGCAAAGAAGCAAAGAAGCAAGACGATGATCTGCCTCTTTTCTGCTTCTCTGCTCCTTCTTCTTCTTTGACAGGGGGACAACAAACAACAAATTACATGTCGTCGCCTCACTCAAAAGAGGGCAGCACAAGCGACCCAAGTTGTCTAGTTGTTGATGCCGGGCAGTTCCTTTCTCCACAGTATCACACGCACAACATTACGTGAACATCCCTCCCCGTACAATCCCGCCAGCTGTCAACCTGAGAATCTGAACGTACACATCGATTGAGAATTGCAATCAACACCCTGACTGACACCACACACCGCCTGAACGAGCATCCATCAAAGCATCAAAGCATCAAAGCATCAAGCAAACAGGAGAATCGAGGCGGCTCAAACGACACGCGAACACACGACCCAGCAAGCAAGAAAACAGGAAAACAAGCGAGCAAGGACAAAGACATAGAATCATGTATGGATTCATGCATCAGGTAAGTCGTACTCAAAAGCAAAGTACTGCTTGAAGTGTGTTCCTGAAATGTTTCACATCACGCAGGAGCGAGTTCTCCGCCTTCCTGATCATGTGCTGTCGTTCTTCCCGTTGAACTGGAATTCACTTTCGGCCTACAAGGCCTACATTGTCTAACATGACGCGACGCATCCCTTGTTTCTTCGTGTGCTGTTTTGTCATGTGTTGTTGTTGTTGCTGTTGTTGTTGTTGTTGTTGTTGTTGTTGTTGTTGTTGTTGTTGTTGTTGTTGTTGTTGTTGTTGTTGTTGTTGTTGTTGTTGTTGTTGTTGTTGTTGTTGTTGTTGTTGTTGTTGTTGTTGTAGGCGCTCATCCACTGGCTCAAGCAGCTGCCAGATGGAAAAGATGTGCTCGAGTCAATCTTCACCGACCTGGACATTCAAGGCCCTCTCGATGATTTTTTCCGCCACTACTCGGACGCTCAAACCATGCTCTTCCTCGATCTGGCATCCAAGGTGTGTGTGTGTGCGTGTTCATATGTTCCGGGGGCAATAGCAAGAAGGGGTTACTGGGGTTATATGCTGGTTTGTGCTTGTCGACTGCACAAGCCGTGGAAGTGTGCTCACTCGGTGCATAGACACATTGACAGCAGCCACACCCTCGTGTATGCATCACTCCCATCTCACTCATACACGCTGCACACTCATTCCCATTGCACGCTCATACACACTGCACACACACGCGCGCGCGCTGCACACATACACACACACACACACACACACACACACACACACGCACACACACTTGACACAGGCCACCGGCCACAAGGTGGAGGAATGCATGTTCGAGGCAGGCAAGGTGTCCATGGGCACCTTTGTGCGCAACGGATACGAGCCTGTGCTGCGCACCTTGGGAAAGGACTTCTTCACCATGCTCACCAACCTGGACAGCCTGCACGACAACTTCCTCTCCGCCTTTCCCGAGATGAAGGTGCCACTGTTGCAGCCGGAGCGCAACCCAGACGACTCCATGTCCATCCACTACTACAGCCAGCGCCGCGGCCTTGCACCCTTCATGATGGGTGCCCTCAAGAGCGCCGCCAAGATGCTCTATGACCTGGACATTGACATTCACCACCGCCTCAAGCGCGACAAGGACCACGATCATGACGTCTTCCACGTCTTCATGGACCCAAGGTGTGTGTGTGTGCGTGCGTGTGCGTGTGCGTGTGTGTGCGTGTGTGTTTGTGTGTGTGCGTGTGTGCGTGTGTGTGTGCGTGTGTGCGTGTGTGTGTGCGTGCGTCTGTGTGTGTGTGTGTGTGTGCGTCTGTGTGTGTGTGCGTCTGTGTGTGTACATGATGATATTATCGCTTCGTTCACATCCGCTGCAAGATTGCATGTTGGCGTGTTCCTTCGCAGCAAGTTATTTCGTTCCAAACGTACCACCACCACCATCACCACCACCACCACCACCACCATCACCATCACCATCACCACGCTTCATGGCATCCTCCCTCTTCTCGTCATCCTTGTCAACTTCCTCACGCTGTCTTCCCTTTCTCGTTTTGTCATTGATCAGTGGATTCCCGGACGGGCTGTCAGCGTCAACGGATGACGAGAAGATGGCCACGGCCCAGCTCGATGCCACCATGACCAACCGCCTCTTCCCTTGGCACTTTGCCGTGGACAAGGACATGAGAATCATTTCCCTGGGCAAGCACCTCGCCTCCCGCATGAAGAAGGACTGCGTTGGCATGCACGCAGACAAGCTCTTCCGCATCGCCCGCCCCATCGACGCCACGTGGGACTTTGAGGACATGAGGGCGCGCTGCGACAAGCCGTTCCTCTTTGTCACCAACCCGAAGCGCATGCTGAGCGCGGAGGAGTACAGTGCAATGCTGACGGAACGCCACCAGCAGCGACAGCTGCACTTGCTGAAGCAGACAAACAGGGCACATCTCGAAGAAGCAGAGACGGCCAAGGAGGTCCAGCTTCCAAGCATGGTGGATGTGTCAAAGCCGCACGTGCGCCTCGTGGTCAATGAGGCCGCGGAGGAAGATCGCAACGAGCCGGATGCAGATGCCCAGAGCCAAACCGACGAGGAGCGGTCGCTGGTCTGCCCCATGTCGCGTCGCTTCGATGCGCTGTCGGCGCCATCCCTCGCCAACACCTCCGGCAGTACGTCGCGCCGAAGCTCCTTGGACGCGCTGGAGCAAAACTCCAGGTACATTCGCAAGCCAACACACATCAAGCTGCACGGCGAGATTGTCTACGATGAGGCCAAGCAGGTGCTGCTCTTTGTCGGCAACCCGCTCGTGCAATCCCTGGAGGAGCTCAACAAGCAAGGCATCGACCTTGCCGACATGCCTATCCACTGCCACGGACGCGAGGTGCTATACAGCGCAATGTGCCAGGCCGTGTCCGCCTCCAACTCAAACCAGGTTGAGGCCAAGCTTGCAGACCTGGATCGCTCCATGATTGAAGTGCAAGAGAAGAAGGAGCAGATTGACGCCTTGCTCAGCAGCATCTTGCCGGAGGTGCGGAGAACAGTGTGTGTGCATGCGTGTGTGTGCGTGTGTGTGAATCATGTGTGCGTGTGTCAAACATGTGTGCGTGTGTGTGAAATATGTATGTGCATGCGTGTGCATGGTTATGGTTTGTCACACACCATGTCAGTCAGGCGGCATGCTCCGCTCCACCATATCCCTTGCTCCACTGACCGGCATTTACTCATAATCATACGCACATCCTCTCTCCCGCTGTTTTGGTAGAACGTCGCCAATGCCCTTGCAAGTGGACAAGTCCCGCCCGCCGAAACATACGAGAACGTGCGGATGACAACACCGTGTCCAGTGACGTGCGCGTTTCACGGTGTCACCGTGTCACGGTTTCACTGTTTCACTGCATGTGTGTTTGTTTTCCTTGTCTCGGGTCGTAACCCACGCATCACATGGCCGGTGACACGTTGCAGGTGACGGTGCTGTTCAGTGACATTGTTGGCTTCACAAGCATCTCCTCTGAAGTTCCGTCTCTGGAGGTGCGTCGTTCTGGCCAACCGCGTTGTACCCTGACAGTCATCCGATTTCGCAGCCTCACTTGAGGCCTTGAGGCATCGCTTGATCTTGCTTGCTGGCATCTGTGAAGATGGGCTTTGTACCACGCTTGTGTGCGTGTGTGTGTGTGTGTGTGTGTGTGCTCTGTATCTGTTGTGCGCTCTTGCTAACGCTTATTTGCTTCTCAACGCATGTCGACAACACAAACGCATACACAACGACATAGGTGATGGACATGCTGCATGAGCTCTTCCTGAAGTTTGATGACCTGGCAGACAAGCACGGCTGCTACAAGGTGGAGACAATTGGCGACGCGTACATGGTGACTGCCGGCTGCCCGGAGGAATGTGAGGACCACGCTCTTCGCATTGCCCGTGAGTTTGACGACACCGCACGAAGAAAGGAAGATACAAGAGAGACCCCCGATTGAGACACATTGCGAGCTGAGCGGTTGTATGCATCTTGTTGTATTTGCATGTGTAGTTGTGTGCATGTTCGTGTGGTCGCAATGTCCAACGCCGCTCTTGTATGCGTTGTACAAAGGCCTCAAGGCTGCACTCCCTTGATGAGGCGTTCAATCGAAGGGTTGCTTTGCGTTGTGTGATGCTTGTCCATCCCATTCACGTGCTCATGGTGGTGTCCTGACCCCGCCCTCACTTGCCCTTTCTTTCCTGCCCATGTGACAAGATCTCGCCATCGACATGGCCCGAGTTGCCCAAACCGTGACGTCGCCACTTGACGGAGAGCCGATCCGCATCCGCGTTGGGCTGCACTCTGGCCCGCTGATGGCCGGCGTTGTTGGGCGTGCGCGTCCACGCTACTGCCTGTTTGGCGACACCGTCAACGTCGCCTCGCGCATGGAGAGCAACGGCCTGCCGGGATGCATCCAGGTGTGTGTGTGTGTGTGTGTGTGTGTGTGTGTGTGTGTGTGTGTGTGAGTGTGTGAGTGAGTGAGTGTGTGTGTGTACGTTTGTGTGCATGCGCGCATGCGTGTGTGCATTTGTGTGTGTGTGTGAGTGTGTGAGTGTGTGTGTGTGTGTACGTTTGTGTGCATGCGCGCGCATGTGTGTGTGTGTTTGTGCGTGCGTTTGTGTGTGGCTGCGTGGCTGCGTGGCTGAACTCGCGCAAGCCCTGTTACCTACCGTGCCGTCACTCTCGCTACTTCAGCTCGCTTTGCTCCATTGGTTGTCCTGTTCAAACCCAGCCCAGCACACCAGCTGCACACGATGCCTGAACTCATACGCGACATTTGTTTTGTTAGGTCACATACCGCTTCTTGCGCTGTCTTCCGCACGACCACGACCTGCGCATCGCCCCACGTGGGCGCCTGGAGATCAAGGGCAAAGGCACCATCAAGACGTTTCTGCTGCTGGGCCGTTCCGCTTCAGAGGCACCGCCGCTGCTGCCGGAGGACGAAGGCACCGACGAGCTGAGCGAGGAGCTACGGATGATCCGCGCTCATCACCAAATGCGGCAGGCCCTCCAAGCACGGGAGCACCTCAAGTCCCTGGCAAAGGACGAGCACGCCAGCCGCGGCCGTACCCCGCGCTACTCCCACTTCTCGCGCTCCGCCTTCAGCACCTCGAACGCCCTCAACGACTACGTGTGAGCAGTTGGACCGAGATGCTCTGAGCGTTGTTGAGCTGCTCAGCACACGATGCTTGGAACGGGTTTCGTCTTGGGCTGCCGTGCTGACACGCTCAAAAGAGAACATCACACGAACCTTGGCCTCTTCTCTCCTTCTTTCTTGTCGCTTTTGATTCCCCGCATCCTTGCAGCACGCCTGAGCTTTCCAATGCGTTCCTTCCTGCCTTCTTGCTTTCTCGGCTTCTTGTTCCTGCGCTGCTGTCATTGACTCGTATTCCCCGTCCTCCTCCTCCTCCTCTTCCTCCTCAGGTTTGCATGCTTCTCTCATCCCGGTCAAAGCTTCAGAGTCAAGTCTGGTGCTGCGTTCAATAAAGATCGACTCAAAAAAGTCACAATCCAAGTTGTTCGTCACTCCATGGTTGATATGAACAAGGCGCACTCGCCCACACAATTTCACACAGGCCAGCGGACCAAGCCACACATCACAACCAACAGCGCCACATCGCCTCCTTCTGCAGGTAGGGCGCGCTCAGACCTTGGACTTCTTCGCCTTCTTCTTCGGCAGCAAATCTTCATCGTCCTCATCCAGCAACCAGTCCTCCTCGCCAGCGTTGCCAGCTTCATCTTCTTCTCCATCACTGCTGTCCCCGTATGTGGCCTCGTCCTGCCGCTCGTTGCCATCATCGTCGCTCTCCACGGCGGCATCGTCGTAGTCTGCGCCGCCAATCATGGGTGCCACGCCGCCAAGACCCATCGCCTCCATCGCCTCGGCACGTCGCTCTCGCTCCTTCTGCTTCCGCTGCATCTTCTTCTCTCTGATCGTGTGCGAGTGAGTGAGTGAGTGAGTGAGTGAGTGAGTGAGTGAGTGAGTGAGTGAGTGAGTGAGTGAGTGAGTGGGTGAGTGCGTGCGTGCGTGCGTGAGTGAGTGAGTGAGTGAGTGAGTGAGTCGAATACAAAGTTGAACACGAATGAGAGCAACACCAAGTGATGAAAGATCAGTCACCGCACATGACACACACACACACAGACTGACTTGATGCGCTGACGCTCCAGCTTCTTGTCAATCTCATGGAAGTTTTCCATGTCCTGTTTCACTTCTTGCACAAGCGTGTCATCTGGTACAACAACAACAACAACAACAACAACAACAACAACAACAACAACAACAACAACAACAACAACAACAACAACAACAACAACAACAACAACAACAACAACACCAACAACAACAACACCAACAACACCAACAACAACAACAACAACAACAACAACAACAACAACAACAACAACAACAACAACAACGTGAGGTCGTGTGTGCGTCGTACAAGTTTGCGAAGCACAAATGCAAGGGCGCAAACGAGCACACTCGTCAACACATGTCATCGATCCCACACCAAGTCGCACCTTCAGGCGAGAATTGATCTGCAATATCCTTCTTGCTCATGTCCAGACCAACAAGCTTGGGACCCATCTGCAGTATTATCACACACACACACAATCATGTGTGCGCAGCAGAAACTGTTGTGAGCCCTTCATGACCGACAAACGTGTACGCACGCACTCACACACACACACACACACACACACACACACACACACACACACAAGCACGCTCAATTGTAGGAGAGAAACGGGTCAAGTTGCAGCCCACCTTGATGGCATTGCCTTCGTCATCAAAGACATAGCGCTCGTTGTGTCGCAGTTGCCTCTTCAGGACGGCAGCGCGCGTCTGTCGCTGCATCTCCTTCTGCTTGCGCTTGGAGAGCACGGCGGGCTTCTTGTCGCTCGGATCAATTTCCTCGTGCGTCTGCGTCGTCCGCTGAACAAGGAGGTCGTCATCTTGCTCCCCAAGTTCGTGCAGCTTGTTGAACGCAGCGCTCAGCACATCTGCCGCGTTGCACAGAAAGACAAGCACAGATTGTGTGAGACTCACAAAGGGGCAGAGAGCTAAACACGTAATATAGAGCACGCGCACACGCATGCCACAACAAAACAACAACGACGACAGTGGCAGCAACAGCAAGAACACACAATCTCATGCATACAAGCAAACAAACAACACAAGCGTGCACAGCATGCAAGCCTCACGCACTCTCCCATGCACGCACCCTTGTTCTTGCGAGCCATCATGCGCTGGAACTTGGTCAGCTGCTTCTTTGGCTTCTTTTCTGCCTCGTCATCATCGCTGTCAAGCGTCACGCGTTCCCCATCATCATCATCATCGTCATCATCATCATCATCCTCATCGTCGTCATCATCATCCTCATCATCATCATCATCCTCATCGTCATCATCATCATCATCATCGTCATCGTCATCGTCATCAGCAATGTTGGTGTTGCGCATGGCCGCGTCCACCTCCTCTCCCGCACTCTCATCGCTTTCACCACTGCTGCCCTCCTCCTCTTCCTTTGTGACAGTCTGTGCGCCAGCCCGCTCCCTAAGACAATGAGTGACG